GGTGCAGGCTTGCGGTGGCTGTTCTGGCTGCCCGGAGGTTGCCCCAAGCCCCCAGGAAGCCAGGACTCACATAATCTGACAGGGCAAGGGGCTGCTTGCCATGGCTGCTCCTCAGATTTACCGTGGCAGCATTTCTGACCTCTGCCAGGGAACATATGGAGATATCAGGTAAAACTGTGCGTCCCTGGAGCTGAACATCTTGCTGCAGTGCTGCCCTGAGTCTCAGCAAAGGAGCCAAATGGACAAGGAGTGGTGGCTCTAGGGCTGTGCCCGGCTTTGCTTCCTTGTAGGAGCAAGCCAAGCATGCCTTGGAGCTCCCTCCGTCCAGGAAACCTTCCTGTGTGGAATTTGGCACCCAACCTTTCCATTCGTTTTAATTGTAAAAACCAACATCCTGACTGTCAAACCCAACTGCTCGCTGTAGAAGAGGTGGAACTAAGCCATCACTTAAAAGGTTTTCTCCTGCAAATTATTTTCTAGGATTCTCCTAGTTTTATAATGAACATTAGTTTTAATCCAGCTCAGATGCACTGACATCCCCCGTAGGAAGAGGGCAGGGAGCCCAGGCAGAGTCTGCTGCCGCGCTTCCTTGGGTTCGGTGGAGCTGCGCTGATTCCTACCAGCTGAGCATTTGACCTGGAACATGTTTGGCTTCAAGAGAAAGGGATTTATTTCTTGGCAAAAAGAAAAAAGAGTTTTTACTAATAGCCCTTGTCATGCTTAAACTGCCATAATGCAGCAGCTGCAAAGGGGACTCCTGGAATCCAAATGAAACAAGAATTTTCCTGCCGATGTTAATTAGCGTATTTTTTTACCCACATATTCTAACCCTTGGCCTAAAAGAACTTCCAACACTGCCAGACCTGAATACTGGCAGAGACAGCTGAGAAGGATAACGACTCTGCCACATCTCTGGTGCAGGTATGAACCAAAGCTTCCTATGTTGACAGAAGATATTTCATTTATTTGCACTGGAAGCTGAACTCTGCATCTTCCCTGGCCAGCCTCAGGGAACAGCTGTGTTGCCAGCAAGAAGAGGCCAACACGTGTGACCTGTGGGCACCTCCAGCACTGGGGAGGACTTTCCCAGGGGATGTCAGCCTCTGCTGGAGCATCTCCTGTGGGAAGTTGTCCATGAGCTGCAGCCAGGCTGCACACCCCCCCCGCTGCGGCTCTCGGGCACCGGAGATTTCCTTGCAGGAAGCCAAAACCTGCAAAACTGAGGCTAAACCTGTGCTGCAGGATGGCACTGGAAAAGCAAACATCCAGAACGGTTTGGGCAGGTTCCCAGGCAGGTGCCAGGTAGCTCTTTGCCCTCAGAAAGGTAGTTTGCTTTCTTGCAGGTGATTCCTTATAGGATTAATGGTCTTTGGAGATCACAGGATAAAATATCAAGTTTGGGGGAAATAATTTACCCTGCTGCAGTTCTCAGGATCCTGAATGGGGAAGAAAAAGAACTTCTAAAAATCAGTCTTGCCACTTAGCACAGAACAAAACTAGAATTTTTCAAGCTACGTTATTGCTCTGTTAGTTTGAAGCTCTTATTAGCGACTGCTCATGGCACTAGTCTTTTGTAACTCAGAGCCAATGTTTTAATCTGTCCTTCAAATTACAATCCTTGAAAAGGATTTAGATATCCTTGGC